GTCCAATCTGCCTTGTTAGTTTAGGTCCACAAATCCAAATCTTTAAAATCAAATGTCTATTGTAATTATTAGTTTAATTATGTAATAATTAATTATTCATTAGCTCATAATAATATATATAGGTATATGAGCCCACAAAGGTGTATACTCACATGCAAGCATGTGCATGCAATCTCAAAATTAGTATGCATCAATTCCCCATCTTGTTTCCTTAATTATTCTCTTTACTCACTCACTCACTCACACCATTAACACAAACCCACCTAAATATAAATAATTACTTTCTTAGAGAGAAAAAAAAAAAAAATTTTTAATTTTAAAATTAATATTAAATAATTAATTGTAATGGGTTATTTTATTTTTATTTTAAAAAAAAATTGAATTAGAGATAAATTTAATTTATTATATAATGATTTTTTTGGTGAAACAAATAATTGAAATGGAGAAATCAAGAGGAAGAGAAGTTTTTGGTTAGGTACCGACTCTTTTTCAGAAATTATTTTCTACTCCCTCCAATCTTATACAATCCGACATGAAACTTAATTTCTCATTAATGTACAAATAACGCAACAACAATAATACGTTGGTTGATTCAAATAAAAACTCGAGTTGAATTCTGTTTAAGTTCTAATTTTATGAAAGAAATGATAGAAGTATGGTTAAAAATGATAATTTAATTTGTATTAGTTTTATATTTAACTTGAAATTATGTGTTTTGATGATCCTAAGTTATGTGAAAATATAAAATTCGTAATTGTAGAAGTAAAAATATAAGCTAATTTAATTTAATTATGTACCGTATATCAAATTTGTAGCATTTTAGAATAAAATTGAATTTCGTTTAAGTTTAATTTAATTTAAACCAGAATAGAATTCTAATTTGCAACTAAGTTAATTTAATTATCGTTCAAATATATTTATATATCAAATATTAAAATTTAAGAATTAAATGAAACGATGTAATAGGTTTAAACCTAAAAGAAAAATTATTATTTTTAATCGCCAAAACATTAAAAAAAAATGGTTAATTAATCTCAGTTATAATATAAAACACAACTTCATTTGTAATATTCGGGTCCGGGATTAATTTTTAATATTTTTAATAGATAAAAAATTTATTTTTAAATTAATTTATTTTAATTTTTGTTGAATTTATGTAAAAAAATAGGTTATGAATGAAATTAAAAATAATTTTGAAAAAAATGGG